TTTTTTTGCGCTACAGGGAGTATTTAATGTGTCTGCAAAAGTAAACAGAAAAGGAGGGAAAGTAGGACAATCTTGCATTGTGAAAATGTGTATTTTACTACCTACGAATATACAAATGTATGAGGTAATTTGGATAATATTTAACTTATTGTGTGCCTTTTGACTTACGCAAGTTTTTGCGATGTCCAGTGATAACAGTGAAACTGCGATTTTCTCTTAATACATATATATGTGAATACACAAGTATGAATATCTGTTTTGGTTTTAATATTTATAATGTTTTACAAGTTACAATTTTTTTGTTATTTAGAATTTAGAAAGATTCAACAAATGTTCATAAAAACTTTGTTTTGGTATGCAGTTACAAGGTGTATGAAATTTTGGTAAAATAAGTGCAAGTTTAAAACGGCCAAAAAATTTCATTGAGTTTCAATACTATTTTTTGCTGAGGGCTTTTTCGTATAAATAGGGCACTGTAGGATAACTTGCGTGGATTTTTTTTTATTTTTTTTCAAAAATTTTCTAGCGCATAGTCTTTCACAAGAAATATATGTTTATATGGAAAAAGGTGTAAAACGCTGTCAACAAAAAAACATAATAATATTAAAAATCTATGCGATTTTATAACCGCTCAAAACTTGCACTTATTTTACTAAAATTTTAAAACCCTCGTAACTGCATTCTGTAAAACTTCTGATTGAAAAGCTCAAAATTTATATGAAAAATTTTGGAATTTTTCTAAATTCCGTATAAAGTTTCAACATTTTATTTATATATGTAGATTTCATTAAAGCATAAAAAATAAAAAATAAACATTTAACACTGTTCGCGCCTAACTGGTAACCCTATTGTAAGGACCTGATAGTTAGGCAGTACTTAACATAGTTTGTAAGCTTTTGCTAGTTTGGTAGCACTGAGTTGTAAGCTGTCCAACCAAGCATCCGTTTTAACAACTTAATAACTAGGCCTTTTTGCCTTTTTCAATATAGAACGTGTTTATTTTTTCATCTGGATTAATTCGCTAAATTATAATTGATTTTCGACTGCTTTTAATTGCTCACAAACACCATTCATCCACTTTTGACCGCCACTGTATATCTAACATGATATTATAGAACGAAATTAAGCAGAAAATAATTACAAAAAAACGTTCGCTCTTTTCCTATTTTTCTAGATCACAATAATCTTTGGAGGCATTTTCATCACCGGCATGCTGGGTAATATTCTGGTTTGTGTTGTTATTGTACGACATCCCACCATGCATACAGCCACAAATTATTATCTATTTAGTCTGGCAGTTTCGGATCTAATATATTTGCTTTTTGGTAAGTAAAAAAATTGTATATATTCAATGAATTTTAAATTATGTAGAATAAAAGCTTTTTTTCTATATTGAATATAATAAATGGATTCTTTTGAAATACAAAAACCATATACGATGTTATATAAGTAGATTCAAAAACAAAAATTAACACAAATTCAATTAACATAAAATTTTAAAAATTTTGTAATAATATAAAAAACGCTTTTTATTTATTTATTTTGACTAACATGAAATTCAGTTTAAGCAAATTTTTTGGAGTTTCACAACAATATATAAGTGTACGTTTCCCCCAGTGCAGTGTTGTCCCCAATATATATGTATATAGAATGGCGCTTACACATACGTGCGCCTTGATGTTGGCCCCATTAGGTGTACATAAATATGTATTTACAAAGCATTCATATTTGTTCTGACAAAAAAAAAAATTTAGGTTAAACAATAATAAGAATGGTTACAGGTTTTAGGCATTAAACATGTATTTCGTTTGTTTGAGTAGAGCCTCCTGAGTTGAAAACTTGATAAAATGTTCCATAATTCCTTCGGCTTCAGATATGTACTTCCTATGTTAATATGTCTTAGAACCGCGGAGTAAATAAGAAAATTATGTTACTAAGGTTAATGGACCATTTTGGTCCTAAGCATTTATTAGCAAGAATATGTTCTTAATTTGCAGTAGATCGGATCTCTGTTTGGCGCTGGCAGAGCAGAAAATTTTTATTTTAAATTCGGTCATCATGCTTCGTGAAGCTTAGACACTGGCAGACAGTATAGGCTCTTGTGGCTAGCTTTGCTAAACACGAATGTACGATTAACTTAGGGATAAACTACTTTCCTAAATAGCACTGATCTTCTTACATACGAAACTTCCACATACATATATTACGTGTTACATTAGGTTTGTTGTTGCAGCGCCTGCAGAGATCACGCTTTATACGCCTATATAGTGCATATTTATTATGTGTTCGTTTAAGTGCCTAATATTCTCGTAAGTTACTTCGAAAAAGGAATAAAAAATTGATACATGTTACTAAATTGATTTTAAGATATTTCATTTACAAGTATTGTTTGAACCCAAACTGGTCACAGTGCACAAAATTATACATATAACTAGTTGCACAAACGACAATCACAACTATAGCCAACATAATGAATACAGTCAATTAAATGCAAAACGAAAACAGAAAACTGATTAAAATTGTCTGCAATGTAGATTACGACATTGTGCTCATATGTAACTATTTATGTACATAGATTTATATGTATGTACATATATATCTGTATAAACAGTTTATGCAAATAAGTAGGAAAATAACAAATAAACAACAGTAATGTCACAGCGTCACTCAAATCAAATTGTAAAATTAGCATAACATAATAACAGGCAGACGTTGTTGCTTTAGACAGCCAACACATTTTACAGACAGCAAAAGGTTTGGCAACATAGTAGTACTAATACGCAGACAATCTCCTAATTCATAAACACCACTGACGCGTCGGCAAGCTCTGCATAATCACATGCTACTTATCTATGTACATAGACGCATGTCCTTGGCTAGCCTAACGGTGCTTTTAGGCAAGTGTGAGGGATCTAAGAGACAAGAAGAAATAGAGTTCTTGATGTTAATGAGTACCAAAATCTACATGCTCTTTCAAAACTAGCAAACATATATGTATTTTCACCTTCTAAGTGCTAAGTAGGAAGATTTTCACTAACCCATTTAATGAGCTAAGCAAGCACAGTAATATATGTATGTATGTATGTATGTACATTTGTATGTACCATCTCGGATCAAAACAATGAATTTTGCCTCTTGCTGTTATGACATTTATACCAAGTATTTACTATTATTACTGTTGCATAATCGCATTGCCAAGAATTTAGAATTGTAAAATTATTTTCGTGCACACTTGAAGCCACGCGTATACTATTCATTTAAATGTAAATTAGCAAAATATATGCTTGAATTTGTGCAAACACTTTGCCAGATTACCACATTCTTGAGACAATCAAATTTAATAGACAAGGCCTAGTAATTGTGTTCTCTTAATTGATGTAACAATTTTGTGTCATACGAAAGAGCTTTAAAATAGAGGAAATTGTAAATAGGTGAATTAAAGTGAAAAGGCGGTTTTCGGCATTTGCTATAGCTTATCATGGTTGTTTTTGTTAGCATGACTGGTTTTGTTTGTTAGCAAAAACACCAATCCTTTAACCATAAGCACACTTACAGTTTGCAAAAAAAATTTCAAAACATTAAATTGTAAAGAAAAAAATTTCATTTGGAAAGGAAAAAAAATGACAATTTCTAAAAATTAAACGAAACAAGTAATTTTTAAGCAAGAAACAAAACCGCTAATTAAAATCGAGATAAGCGACAAAAGACATAACTAAATGTATACTTTTGGATAAACTAAATTGGAATTCGAAGTGAGATTGAAAAAATTCAAAATGGCGGATCCATATTGGATCTACCATTTGTCACGGAAAGGCTAAAATCGCACGTTATACATGGCGTATGAGTAACATTCTCATCTCTACTGGGTAACAATAAAATTTAAAAATTTATGGTGTTTGCGTTTCTACCAAAAAATTTCGCATTTTCATTGTACCTTTCTATTTTCGCGTTCGATTGTAAAATAAGGGCAAACGGTGAGAAAAAGGTGTTTTCGTTTTAATTAAGAACAGAACAGAAAAAAATAGAAGTTAAATTAAATAAATTTCTAAAATTTAAATGAATTTAAAAATATTTTTTTTTTAACTATAAAATCTACGAATTAAAAGAAAATCAAATTAAAATAAAAAGATATAAATTAAAAAAAAAAAATAACCATAAGTAATTTTTGAACAAAAAATACAACCGACATCAATGCTCATAAACAATTAATTTCCAATTTAATCCTTGAGGTATTATCTTTCCGATAACAAAATAATAATCGAAAACGATTCAAATGTTTCAAATTGATCCGTTGCTATGCACAAAAAAAAATCCGTATGCATTTTTAACCTGTCTCCTGTAATTGAAGTCGGTCAAAAAATTCGCTGCCCGTCGAATCGAACCGTAGATATCTCAAATGGCACGCCAGGTTTCATTCCCTGCAAACACGCATGCAATTCTGGAAAGCTTTCTGCTGGGGAGAAGCTTCAGAGTCAGGCAGAATTCCTTTAGAACGGAAAGTCACCCAATATATGTATGTAGGTGTCCTTCAAGGCAGTGTTCTAGGACCCATATTGTACGTAATATACACTCGTGATTTGCAAACTGATGACAGTCTTAGCATTTCAACGTTTGCTGACGACACGGCTATCCTAAGCAATAGTTCAGGCCCTAAAGAGGCTTCTTAAAAGCTGCAAGAATATTTGAAAAAGTTAGAGCTATGGCTAGGTTATTGGAGGGTAAAGTTTAACGAAAGCAAGTGTGTTCAGACAACATTTACGTTGAAGAAAGAAACTTGTCCACCGCTAAAAATAAACAGCAAGGCTATATCACAAAAAGATAGTGTCAAATACCGTGGGATGACACTAGATAGAAGACTTACCTGGAAAAAAACATATGGAAAACAAAATTTCTCAAGTGAAACTAAAACAAGCAAGCCTTCAAAGGGTTATGGGACGCAAATCTTAATTAAGCCTAGATAACAAGACGTAGCTTTTTAAATAATATGGTGATTAAACCATGTTGAGCATATGGAATCGGGCTTTGGGGCACAGCGTGCAATTCCATTTTGAACAGACTTCAAAGACTGCAGTCAAAAATTTTACGCGCCATATGCGGAGCACCGTGGTACACAAAAAAATACGAGTATCCACAAAGATCTTAATTAAAAATACGGTGCATGAGGACATAAGAGGGCTAAGCACCAGTCACTCAGCATGGTTAATGAACCACCCAAATCGACTAGCGAGAGATCTTCTTAGCCCGAGATATGCAAGAAGACTAAAAAGAAAGGATTTCTCCGATATTATCAAATGATGCGCAATATAATAAATTTCGATATCTGTAATAAATATATCAATTTCGGCTCTGGAACTCGGTCTTTCAGACCGACTACCCAACACCAGTGTCAATGCGGCTCGGAAACTTGTCCTTTCCGACCGAACACAGCCTACTGGATTGTAATTACTTAAATATAGAGAAGCGAAGGCGCGGCATGGAAACTAGTCCTTTCGGAGCGCATGCCCAGCACGATAACCAGCGATCCTCCTTCTCGGATTCTTGTCCATTCCGACAGCCGCAACAACCGTAATAAATACATATGTATGAAAAAATAAAAAATGTCTAAGCTTTACCGCAGAAATTTTAAATTTAATGGTAGTTTGTAAGATTTGAAAACTTATTGTTAGTTTCGAAAGAAAGATTTAATAAATAAATACATATTATACAAAAAAAAAAAAATTTATTAAAATATGGCTTAGATTTCTTAAATCCAATTATGGCAATGTGTATGAAAAAAATAGAATCAGCGGAATTGCAAACTTTTTAATAAGAATTTCAAAAAAAAATCTGAAAATACTTTATATGGAAAAAAGCAGATTTTTAGTCATCTGAAATTTGCATATTATTATATAAATATAAATGCCCGATTTTATCTAGAAATTCCTATTAAAAAGTTTGCAATTTTGCTCAAACTTTGCATATTTTTCCTAATACTTGGCTTCATGCCATATTTCAATACAAAATTAACGAAAAAATTTTAGCATGTACACAATTTTGTAAATACCAAAACATTTGCTGTTGTAATAAAAAAAAAATAGATGTCACATATTCCTCTTCTATAAAATGCTTTAAAATGCCTGGGACTACTTCTTCACTGCTACGTTTTTAGCCAAATTTTCTGCCTTTTGGCAAATCTAAATATTGTACGCCAAAGTGTCACAGCTTCAGCTGTATTTTTTGTTAAATATTCAATTTACTAAAGATATTGCATTGCGATTATTTTTTGCAACGCCTAAGATTTATAGGCTTGCATTGAACGGCAAAGCAGTGAGTTTTTTTATTGATTTTTTCATATAATCATATCGGTCGTGCCGACGCATACATAAATAATTTATGCGAAAACTTTACGCAGCAGACTGCTTATATTTGTGTAAGCTCTTTTTAAATCTCCTTATTAGTATTTAAAGAGCGTAAATGCGCACAGGGCAAATGTTTGCGGTGATTTATGTACATACATACATATTTACTTATATAAGTGAACTTTTACGATTGCAAGTACTATTAAACAGAAAATTTTTCGCCACCAGCTGTAAAGCCATAAGCTTAAAAACATAATCCGAAACCACAAAATTACATAACATTTTTTTCCCCCCCCTCTTTATGGCGAAATTTAGGTTTACCTGCGGAAATATTTTTATATTGGCATCAATATCCCTACCTGTTCGGACTGCCCTTCTGCAAGATACGTGCGTTCATTTCAGAAGCGTAAGTACTTAATATGAATAATTTACATAAATACAAATGCAAAATGTGTATTAGCCCGGGTCGGTCCACATGCGATAAAAATAAACTTTGCATTTACCACCACTAAATTGATAGCTTACTTCGAGAGTATTTCAAGGTCATAAAAATGTTCATCCTTAGCGAATCCTAAACAAGCCCAAATTTTCTTTTTAACTCCTTTATTTATTACTGGATTTTGAAGTGTGAAACATTTACTTCGGTTGAAAGCGAAATTTCAAGGAGAAAATGTATCGCTTACTAAAATGTTTTATTTTATGTAGAGCAAAGTTCTATTTAACGACGTAGAAATTGAGTTATTTGAACTAAAATCCTCTTAAAGTAAGCTATAAAACTAGGTGGGTAATTGCAAATTTATTTTCACGATCCAGTCTAATGTGTATGTACTTTTCATATACTTTCACTAGTGAAATTTTACTTTTTCATGCGGTTTATATTATGGTTTCATTTGAAATTTTTCTTAACCATAATTTATATTTTTTCTCCTTTTTCTTAGTTCGACGTACGTCTCCGTGCTCACCATCGTCGCCTTCTCCATGGAACGCTTCCTCGCCATTTGCCATCCATTGCATTTGTATGCGATGAGCGGCTTCAAGCGTGCAGTTCGTATTATTGCCGCCCTTTGGATTATAAGCTTAATAAGCGCCATTCCGTTTGGTCTGTGTACGGACATAGAGTATTTGACTTATCCCCTCAGTAAGTATGCCAATCATTTGTACAATAAATTTTATGTTCAAATATTTTCTTTACCCCTTACAAATGTGTTGAACATTTTCAATTGCTGTCAAATTTTCTCTAGCCCTATTTAATAGCGTGTACAAGTATTTGTGCTTAGATATGTATGTATATGTATATATGGGTATATTTAAATCAGTTTTTTTCTCCTCTTCAAACAGCCGACGCAAAAATACCCGAATCCGCCTTTTGCAGTATGGTTGATTATCCTGAAAGTTTCCCTTTATTTGAGCTGTCCTTCTGCGTTTTCTTCGTTATACCGATGTTGCTGATTATAATCTTGTATGGCAAGATGGGCGCGCAGATACGTTTCAGCACCACGTTGCAATTGGGTAAGTGCAGCGAAAGTGTTCCTTAGAAACACATATTTAATTATAAAGAAAGCAGAAGTTTCATATAACATTATTTCTAATGTTTCTACTATTTAATTAAAAGCGTCTCCTATTTCCCATCCTTTTATCTCATTTTTTCATACAGGTGTTCAACAAGGCTCTATGCATCGTGAATCTCGACATCAGCAGTCGCGTAAAGCGGTTATCCGCATGTTGGGTAAGTGACAAACGGAAGTTTCTATAATTACGTACATACTTTTCTATTAGGTCGACAACGAACTCAGGTGCGCACTTTAAAAATAAATTAGATATATGTACACTTTTCTTATCTTCTGTTAAGCATAAGGAAAAATACCTCACTGAGGCACCAGCGCACAGTGGTTCTAAACTATCATTTACTATTCATAATGCAGTGGAGCCTTCATTTTTCATTCAGTTTGATAACTTTTTTTAATGAAAGCTTATAAAATGTGCCCGAAACCAGTTGATCCCGATTCTTGAATTTCCACTGCCTTGTATTCAATTTTTTAGTGCAAAATGCAGGAAAAATTGCAATTTTGAAGCAAATCGAATCTCCTGTTGCAGCTAATACATATTACATAATAATTAGTTGGGAACACGTGTAGGGCTCTCCCGAAACAAAAAGAAAAATAAAAAATGTTGTAAAAAAAGTTTTTATCAAAATAAATTTTTTTTTTAGTTTTTAGGAAAAATTGGGGTATGCGCTTTTATAGATATTGAAATTTTAGCATCATAGAGTGAAAGTTTCAAGTGGTTAAGTGTTCGCGTTGATTTTTAATTATACATATACATAAGAATATAAACTACACAACACGCGGTTTCACGAAACCAATTTAAGTGAAATATTCTTTTTCTGTCAGTTTACATACTACTAAGTTAAAAAAAAATAAAAAATTTTTTTAACTCCAATTGATTTCATGAAACTGGCTTTAAGATTTAACCATCTATAAAATTGCATACCGAATTTTTTTCTAAAAACTCAAAAAAAAAAAATTAATTTTGGTGAAATTTTTTTTATAACATACCAATTTTTTTTGTGATTTTTTTCGGTTTTGGCGAACCTTAATTTTGTTTTCGTTTTTTTATGTATTTTTTATTAACTGGAAGAAGAGAATCGATTTTCTTCAAAATTGCTACTTTTTCCGCAATTGCACTAAAAAAATTAATTCAAACATACAAAAGTTCAAAAATTGGGCTCAGCTAGTCTCTTACAAATTTTATAAACTTTCATTAAAAAAAAAATAATCAAGTTGGTTGAAAAATCAAGGCTCCAGTGAATTCCAGTTTTGAACCACTGTGCAGCGGAGCCAACGCTTGTTCTATGCAACAAAAATTCTTGTGAACTAAATTCCTAAACTAATAAGAACATTTTCGAAATATAAACAGGTTTCGTAAAACCTCTCGCGTGTGATACCCAAACTAAAGTAAAGGTGGCAGCTTCCTTTGAGAATATCTTTTAATTAAAGCTTTCTCAAACCTCTTTTGTTTGACACCCATAGTAAAATATTTTGTTAAACTTGTTAACCATGTACATTTATTTTTACTTTTTGCACAGGTGGCGATCCTCTTAAAAAAGATTTTTTCATTTAATTTTTTTTGAACTCCTTTTGTTTGGCACCCATGTTGTTGTTTTTAACTTAAAAATTAATAGACTTTAACTCTCAAAACAGTGGGCAATCTTTTTTAAAATATTTTCGAAATAAATCTTTTTGGAAGCCCTTTCGGTTCACATAAGTATACAGTATTGTAATATTTTGTTTACCTTAGTTCTAAATTGATTTGAACTTCCAAAACAGGTGGAAACTCTCTTGTAAAAATACATCATTAAAATACGTTTAGCGTCAAAGAGCCACAAACATGCTCACAAATATTCCCATTCATTATTCTAGTAAAATTTTTTCCCCAATTAAAAACGTTTTCATCCTGTCTTTTGCAATTTTACGAAAAATTTAATTTTTTTCCACAAAAACATTTTTCTCTAGTCCAGATTGTGTTTTGTCAAAACCTCAAAGTATTTAATTAGTCCCACAATTTTCAGAAATGCATTCTAAAACAAGCGCCTTAAAAAATTCTTAAGCAAGGCAAACATATTTTCTTGTATGTATACACACATAAATATATGAGTATGTGCGAGTACCATACTATGATCGAGTTTATTGTGCATTCCCTTTAACTGCTGAATCTGTATGTGTGCAGCCTTCTAAATCGGTATTTCAACTGTTGCTGTTTGCCGGCCGAGAAATCCTTTTTCATGTTTTCAAAAGCCACAAAATAAACACTGGTACTCGAGTATGCCTCTATATATGCACAAATGTATGTTAATTTCTATAGTGAATATGTACAAATATATGTATATATACATTAGGGTGGTGCAAACCCGGTAAAGTCAGAATTGTAATGCTCTCACCACCTAGGATTGTTCTATATCGAAAAAAGTATACCGCGCTGAGCGCTTTGAGCGACCTCTAAATATTTCTTGATTTCAAAATAAAAAAGTAGGAACACATTTTTTTCGGTATAGAATAAGCGTTGGGGGTGCGAGCATACAAATTCCGTCTTTACTTTTTCCAGATGCATATTTGGACCACCCTAATGTACATATATGTAAGTAAGTACAGTAGACTAGCAAGAATGCTATAAGTTTCAAGGCTTTCTGCAAAAATTTTATTGTCAACCGCTAGCTCGTTTACGGTCAATAGCCGATGAAGAGCTTGTTGTCTGCGGTTAATATACAAATAAATTGGAGATAATGACCATTAGAGGATCCAAAAATTCACAGAAAATTCAACCTCTATACTTAAAACTAAAATTTTTGAAATTTTCCTGCTCGGGGGCTCGCCAGTATTATAGAAAAAGGAAAATAAAGAAATCCGTATTTTTTATTTTGAAATCGGTTAATATTCAATGGCAGTTGCAGCTCTTTGCTATCAAGATTTTTTCGAAGTTCCGCTTTTCGTTTGCTTGCATTTATTCAAGGATTTCAAAAAAAAACTAATATGCGGCAATGACACTTTAGCTAAGTGTTCGGCCGAGCTTTTCTTCCAATTTGTATCGTACGTCCTGATGTTATAACAGAAATAGAGGGCTTACAATTTCACTCCACCTCCGATCGGCAAATAGTTTTATAAGAAGCTTTTTCAGGAGGGGAGACGTTTGACCATTAGACGAATTTCAAGGACTATATTCGATTACTCGATTAAGAGTAATCTCGATTAAGAAAAGCAATGTCCGTTGAATTTGAAAATTTACTCCCAACCAACTAACCGCCGCTAAAAAAGTTTCCCTTCAAAAAAAAACACCTCACTTTTGTTACTCATGTCTTTAATCCTTATATAAACCATGTCCAGTCCTTACTAAAGTAAGTAGCAAGCATTAGTAAAGTAACTGTAGTAAGGATTTTATTTTATAGAGTTTTGAGTTGTGTCGTTTTTACAGAGGTACGTCGATATGTACTTACAAATACGAAAAATATATTCAAAACGAATTAACAGTTATACAAGCATACATAAGTACGTGTACATGCCCCACCTTAAACTCAAATCAATTTTCATCGCCTTTTTGTTCCATCTGCAACCGTGCAGATGTATATTCGTGTAAATATCAATTAGATTAACAAATCGCTTCGTTGCACATTTATTTAGCTATTTGAGGTATACATATACATACGTATTTATATGGATGTTGTTAAATATTCGGCTATTAACTTCTTATAGGTTGTACACATGTATACATACGGTGACCATTCGTCCCGTTTTGTGCGGCACAATACCGATTTTGAGAAAATTGTCCCGCTGAATATTTTTTTAAAAGTCGGGACGTATATGTGTTCCGATTCTTTATATTTGTGGCAGAACATTCGTTATCACAAAGAACATAGAATATAAAGGAGCCATGAACATTGCCATCTTTACATTCTATGATCTTTGGTTATGTTTTATTCTGTCAAACTGGTTCTTCCTCTATATTGCAGCCTATCACACTTGGCTGGATTTTGTTTTAAGGTTTTAATTATTCTTTAGTGGAATACTAATTCCCTCAAAAAACTCATGAATATGAAAAATATAACCTGTAGCAAAGATATAAATAGGGAAGATATATTTTAACATTATTTGGCTTTTACCCTTTCGATTATTTAATATTTATTATATTTTATGAAAGTGAAAGTCAAGTCAGAATTTCAAACGTTGTACAAAAATTAGCTTCATCAAAATTTTGAGTTTTTTAATTAGATTTTTTAGAAACATTCCGGGTATGCAGTTTTGTAGCCCATTCAATTCAAAGTGCAAATTTTAAATAGCTTGGACGTACCGTTGACTTTTAGCTCATATTCTCCAAACAAAAAATGTCGAACATACTTTGTATAGAAGAAAAAGCGCGAACAAAAAAAATTTACAAAAATCAACTGTAAGTCCCAGCAAACTTCCACTTTGAATTGCATGGGCATACTCAAAACAATTCTAAAAAATCTGTTTAAAATGTTTAAAATTTGTATCAGCATTTGTTAAAATTCAAAATTTTTAAATTTTGATTTACATAGTTTTTTTAGATAGTAAGGTATATTTTTATTAAATATAATGAAAATTTTTTAAACAAAGAAAAGTAGCCAAAACTTGCCAAAATGTCTCTTCCCTATTGACATTCTCGCCACCGTAAATATTTTGTGTGTTTTTCTAATTCTTTTGTTTTAAATAAAACTGTATTAGAAGATGTTATGTCTTTTTATTCTAAAAACAAAATTTTATGCTCGGATTCGATGCATTACAAATGTCCCGATTTTTGTCCACAGAAATTTGGTCACCGTAATACTGTATACATGTATGTACATGCAGAGTGCCTTAGTTGGAGCTGTAACAGAATAAATGTATATGAAAACCACAAACAAAGGTACAAAATTCTCACACAGAATTCTGAGAATCGTTTTCATCTCGAAATTGTGTGGTCACTCGGAAGAGAGAGGCAAATATTTAATCTTTTCATTACGAATTCCTAAATGAGAATTTTTCATTAAGTAAGTCCACAAATTGATTCGTGGAATTAAAGTTGGAAATTTAAGAAAAACGGAAAGGAATTAAAACTTAGTATTCATAACCGAATTCCATTAAATATTCTATATGCTCGTGGTAAACATAAAGTTTGTCATAGATAGCTAAGTTTACACATCTCGTGTATTTTATTGGCATTTCGTTTTAAGCAGAA